AGTGTCAAGGGTCACTGATGAGGAGTGGAATTCTCCAAAACTAGTCTGGCTCATAGATACACACCCCAATGAAAGAATAGACCATTCCAAGCTTTAATTTGTTGTTAAACAAATGTTTAAACAACTCTACTTATTCAATTATGTACAAGATGCCCAGTGTCAGATAACAATACGAAGAATTAAACTGTGGCGGATTGCTACAAGTTCTTCAAATGCCTATAGAATGATAGGTTTCTTTGTTAGTGGTTGTAAAACACGTAAATACACCAGTTTGATTTTTAAGAATACTTTTGTTCGAGCGTAGAGATTTTATAGCCTGAAAATGTTCTCTATGCATATAGAAGTCGGTAAGGTCGATTGGTGTGCCACAGTAAGCATGCGCCAAATCACGTAGTCTGACCTTTAGCGAACTTACTTCATCAGATACTGGTTTATGTTTAGTAAGTTGAGCATATAAAAAAAATCTGTTAGTAAAATTGTAAATTAGAGCATGTCAGAGGTAAGCGTGGAAAGTGGTTTCTGAGTTTTCATTGATTGCTCTTTAGCCCCATAAGATTGGACAATATAAAAATATAGCTTCAGAATATCGATGACGAAATTATAGAGAATATTTTACGTAACATTTCTTAGTTTTCTACGGGTGGACAAAAAATCCAGAAGAGGAGACTGCTTAAGAACAAATATCTAAATTAGCACACTAGGGGAATTTGAGGTTATTTTTAAATATTTCCATATACAATTAAAAACTTAAAACTTGTATATTAAAATTTGATTTATTATCTATAGTTTGATGTCAAGTTTGTTCGTGTATCTTGATAATTAAGTAGTTTAATTAAATTTTGAATGTAACTCACTAAAACTTCGTGACATTCACAGTTTGACCTACCCACATGCTAAGAGTTAAATCATGCACGCACCTACCTAACGTGTAATCAGTCACACAGGCACATTCACGTTCTCTTTCAGAGCGTGGGAGTCGCCAATTTCCCATATTTCTTGCTATTGTCGATTTTCATGGTGAGATTCGCTTATTGACTGAAGTATGAACTCAAACTATCACATCAAACATTTATAATTCTGTAAAAAGTGAAGCTGAAATACCATAGGAGGCATTCAGTCAAAACTCCAAAGATGGGACATGTGATAACAGATATTATTCTCAACATATGATATACTATAAACCAGTACTGGTACCGACTGCAAACCCTGGGATGGCTCCCTAAAGACACCGATTGTATAGTGCACAAAGCATTGAGTTTTCTACATGTTACAGTCATCTAATGTTCATCTCTTATTGGCTGGTAATTCCTGTTTAACTTTTTAAACGAGTTTTCTGTAAAAAAGCTGACTTCAAGGGGTAATGATAACATCGTTTTCACTATAATTATGATTTGTATTTCAATTACTACTAGTTATTACGACTAAGGGATGAAATCTTGCACTGCCCAGAAACACACAGTTGATTTAGGTTTAAACTGACGTTAGTTATAAAGTAGTTGTAGATTTACTTTGACTGAAACAAGAAGAAGAAAGACGAACAATTTGGTGGGTTGGTCACTTTCTGGTTTGGTATCTTAGCTATAGTTTCTTGCTTTGTTTTGGGGCTTGTTGGGTAGAGAAACAAATGAAGTGCGTGGTAATCATATTTTAAAGTAAAACTGTCATTGTTGATTATTAACGTGCATATTTTTATTATGAATATTGAATACCTTGACCATTCCTACATATAGTCTATGGCCTCTATGATAAGATTACAGCAGTCACAATCCTGTGAATGTTACTATAAGACAGCAGTCACGATCCCGTGAATGTTAAAGTAAGACAGCAGTCACGATCCCGTGAATGTCACTGTAAGACAGCAGTCACGATCCCGTGAATGTTACTATAAGACAGCAGTCACGATCCCGTGAATGTTAAAGTAAGACAGCAGTCACGATCCGTGAATGTCACTGTAAGACAGCAGTCACGATCCCGTGAATGTTACTGTAAGACAGCAGTTACGATCCCGTGAATGTTGCTATAAGACGGCAGTCACGATCCCGTGAATGTTGCTTGCTAGTTCATTGTTTATAAAACATCAAGAACCAGCTTTTACTTCTACCTCATTCATCAGACACGCTGAATGTATTAGTGAGAGCTGGGGAATATTTCCCAGAATTCTACACGTGTAATATATACAGATACGCTACAGAATCGTGCTTGTTGCTCGGGTTAAACAAACTCATTATTAGGTTAATTCTGAGAATCCCAACTTTTTATATCTCCGAATCATGGTGTTGCTGCCAACAGTCTCAAACCAGGAGGCTTGCCGTGTTGGGATGTACTGAGGAACATCACAGATTGAGATTGATGTGTTACCCTGAGGTCGATACATGTCGCATTTAACTTTCATTTATAGTTATAGAGCTATAATTTAGTTACTGGCAAAATATATGCCAATAAGTTTAAAAAACCATAATTTTTGAGGACCGTAATTCATTTTGTCGGTCATATATATACACACACACAACAAAATTAACATACTTAGATCCCTCAGTAAATGTCCTCGGTGACTCAGCGGTAACTTTGAGGGCTCATAGCACTTGAAATTGGTGTTCGATTCCTGTAGTACGCTGACAGGTTATTTGTGCACTTAACAACAAACTAATAAATATAATATACTGTTAGGTTTCTCAAATAGATTTGATTTTTTTTGTTTGTTTGTTTGAAGTTAAACACAAAGCTACACAATGGGCTATCTGTGCGTTGCCCACCATGGGTATCGAAACTCGGTTTCTAGCGTTGTAAGCCCGCAGACATACCGCTGTTATATTGTATAAATTGACAAGATCCATAAACTTCTCGGTTAATAAACCCAGTCGGTAAAGTCTTGAAGTCAATGCAAATTACATTCTCAAGCTTTCAGTTTTTCCAGTGAACCAATCAGTTTGCATTTCTGTGCAGCAAGTTCGAAGTATTGTTTGATCCACATTAAATCCCTGTTAAAACGTCATATTGGTAAGAACTGAGTTGTTTATTGACACATTTCAAAGCAGATTTTTTTCCATCTAATAACGGAGATCTCACACTTATCTGTTAGTCATGGATAAAAATTACTTGACGATGTAATCCAGTATTTTTGTTGTTGTTGTTGTGTTCTAGGAAGTGTTTTGGAAATAGTAACAGCCACACCGATGATTCTGGATTCTCCGAACTCAACAGACATGATAGTCTTAAAGTTTAAAATAACATAACATAAAGTTAAAGGACAGCAATGGATCGTTTGGTTCGCGTATACTGCCCCATCCATTAAATTAAACTAACCCCTTTAAAAAAAACAAAGCCAGCCCTTATCATTCAAATGTTTATCAAGCTTTCCTTTAAACTCCCTGAAATTAACTACATCAAACCTGAAGGCAACCCGTTCCAGAGGCCAACCACCCTATTAAGAAAATAAAACTGCCTTAATTAGCTCAAGATGACTCCTATCGTGCCAAAAATTTTATTTATATCCACTAGTCCTACCATTCTTAACATTAAATATGAAAAAAGATGATGCATCAACGCTGTCAATTCCCTTAACAATCTTAAAAGCCTCAATTAGACCCCCCATTTGTTTTTAAGAGAAAACGCTGTAAAAGTAAGGCTTAACAGTGTCACCCCTCGTGAAGGCAGGGTAGAACTTAATGAGCACAGTACTTTCGATTGTTGGTTTAACGCGGCTTAACATTTTGCCCCCCCCCCCCGTGGCTCATCCGTAAGTCTGCAGGCGTACAACGCTAAAAATCGAGTTTCGATACCCATGTTGGGCAGGACACACTAATAGACCATTGTGTGACTTTTTGCATAACAACAATCAAATCACACTTTTCATACCTTGCAACAGATTTGTGAACACCACAAGTTCCAGAATCATCTGTCATTTCGACCAGCCAATAGAAATATCGTTTCTAGTGATCGAAAACATTTTTATCTTAATATAGTTTTCCTTTAGAATTAAGTTATTATACGAATGACAACTAATGTGATGACGTCATTACAGGATGTCGAATGGAATCAGTCTCACAGTATTATATAAATTAGCTTGTTTCCTAAGCCTGTATTTCGAGGTAATAACGTGGCTTAAAGAGTTCCAGCGAAATTGGGATACTTTGTAAACCAGTTATGTATAATATATTCACATCTTTGTATGCCATTTGTGTTTATTATGATACATCTTACAGGATGCAGTGAAGAACTGGAGGGCCTTCCAGCTGTTGAAGGATGTTAATCAGTAGACCGACCATCTTCAGCTCGACTGCGTGAGCTGGCTTCTGGAAGTTGTTACATGTGATGTACGTTACGTCTACCACGTTCCCACTCATGTTTGAGGGAGAAAGAGAATACAACTTGACCAAACACATACCCGGAAATACGTATCATTACTACGGACTTGCTGCTGTTGTGCCTTTCTGTCTGGTGATTATCGTCTTTATCATCTTGTCTGTCGTGGGGAACATTATGGTCATCATAACTGTGGCTCGACACAAGGGAATGCGGACAAGAACCAACATGTTCATCGTGAACTTAGCCGTGGCTGATATGTTGACTGCGGTCATTGATATGCCAATTTCCTTAGTGACCTTGATCCACGGAGACTGGATTTTGGGGGATTTCTTCTGTCAGCTGAATGGATTCACCATGGCTTTGTTTTTCATCTGTTCCATCCACACCTTGATGTACATTAGCATCCACAAATATATTTCCATCACTCGTCCTTTTAGACAGGTGATGTCGCACCAGAAGGTTCTCTTGATGATAGGTGCAGCTTGGTGTTGGGCTGCTCTGTGTGCCACTTTTCCTCTGTTGGGCTGGAATAAAACCATCTATAAGAAGGGTTCCTCACAGTGTGGCCCTAGTCTTCCCGATGACTGGAAGGACTTTTCACACTCCATTTTGATTACTGTTTCTAACTACATTGTTCCCCTGGTGGTAATGATCTTCTGCTACTCCGGAATTTTCAAAGAAATTGATAATCACATGCACAGGATACGAGAGACATCCAACATTCCTCTTCAGGATACCATACACCAACAGAGGCGGATATCAGTCACGCTCTTCTTAGTTCTGTCATGTTTTCTGATTTGTTGGACACCTTATGTTGTCTACTCCTCAACTGTGGCTTTCATCAAAGACAAGAGATTAGTTCCTCTTGTTGTGAATCCTGTAGTAAGTTCGATCCTTAAAAATCTCATATCATCTTAATTATAGTGTCTATAAATATTATCGTAACTGAATTGATAACATATGTGAACCCAATTACACAGTGTTTAAAGTACAATCTATATTATACTGGGACTTCCAAGACTTAATTAAAGCATTGAATAAAGTGTGGTTGCAAGATTTTCCCTTGTGCAACATTGTCTACAATGTAATGTTTTAATAGGGGTACTATGAAGACTGTTGGTTACAGCAAGCCTTACATGTGAACTGTTAGGTATTGAGTAATTCAACAGACCTTACACGTGAACTGTTAGGTACTCAGTAATTCAACAGACCTTACACGTGAACTGTTAGGTACTCAGTAATTTAACAGACCTTACACGTGAACTGTTAGGTACTCAGTAATTCAACAGATCTTACACGTGAACTGTTAGGTACTCAGTAATTCAACAGACCTTACACGTGAACTGTTAGGTACTCGTTAATTCAACAGACCTTACACGTGAACTGTTAGGTACTCAGTAATTTAACAGACCTTAT